GAAACTAAAAATATATAACTAAAAATATGTAACTAAAAATATTATATAAAAATTATTGTAATAATGATATTTCATATTGATCATGTTGTAAAACCAATTAAATCACTTTCGAGCTAATGTCTTTCGAGCTCGTGTCTTCGAGCTAATGTCTTCGAGCTAGTGTCTTTCGAGCTAGTGTCTTTCGAGCTAGTGTCTTTCGAGCTTGTGTCTTTCGAGCTCATGATTTTCGAGCTAGTGTCTTTCGAGCTCATGTCTTTCGAGCTAATGTCTACGTCCCTAATTAAATATATTTTAACCAACAATCTCCACATATATCACAAAAGTTTAATAGTTAACATTAAGTCTAGGGTTTAACTTTGCATTCATATTGAATTTATTAAGGTTTGACATTTTATTCTATCTTAAAATATGTAAATTAAAATGAATTCATATCAGCAATAAACTAACCTTGTACTTTGAAATTGCCATTAAACGCCATTGAAATTGGCAAACAAATTAACATATTATAAAATTATATACAGTAGTCATCATTAATGCTTTATAATTTGGAGTAAACAGTTATGTATTGCTAATTATTAAACACAAAATTAATTATTAAATATCCAATTTATAAAGAGGTAAGATTATATATAAATTTTTAATTAAACTGCATTTATAAATTGATCAATACTTTTACAATAAAATTATTATAATTTGTAACCTATTAATTATTTATAAACTATATTTACTATAATAATATAATTATCAGTTAAATCTAGTTAAATTACAGACATCTGGTAATATATATTTATATTTCATACTATTAATAATTACAACTATTATATATTATCATTGACTTTCTTGGTAATAATAAAATTAATACATGTGAAGTAAATATCAATATTTAAACCATGGTCGGTTGGTGGTCTAACATTGTCAATAATGTGTTTGGTCGCAATGAAACCAATGTGGCCAACGGTTACCGTAACGCAAGAGATTTGGCCGTTTATTTCTCGGAGACTGAACTAGATATTGAATCTATTGGCGTAAGTGTTATTTATTATAGTTACTTGATTATTGTTTTGTTGTACAATCCGTTGTGCTAAGTATTTATTGTAAATAGTATTTAATTAAATGAACGTAGAGTTCTTCATTTATATTATAGTGATTTATTTATACCAATATTTTTCTGTAGATATTAAATCTAATATACTGAATCTACTAATATTTTATTTACCATTTTACAATTTTTATCTATCTATCCCTCATTCACTCACTTGCATTCATTATTTCGTATGAGATTTTAAAATTAATTTATATTAATTACAATATACTATAAAACGTTAAAGTACATTATACAATTATTATCGTGTATTTACATTATAGATTAACGTGCAAACCGGTGAAGTAAGACTCAGCCAACGAACACCAACACCAATAGAGATGATGGTAGTGGTTGGCCCGCGTGACTATTACCGTTACTACCGTAACAGCCGGGTCACGCATGTAACTATAGTGGCGCGTATGCCTAACGGCACGGCTCACGAATTGTGCCGTAATTTGCGATTAATGGCCAACAGATCGGTAGTGGTCACCGCCAATGGTAGAGTCAAACCACAAAAGTATGGTGGTTATCTTTTTGAAGATGAAGATGGTGTAAACTGGGAATAATCATTACCCATCTTAATATGGATACACAGGTTATTAAATGACATTTATTATTTTTTAAAAATTATTAAGATTTTATAAACTTTTAAATTTTTTTGAATTTATTGTTAATAATTGTTCTTATGTAGTTTTTATAGTATATTAGTTAATTTTTTATTTAATAAATATTAGTTAATTTTAATACACAATTTATTTTAAATACAGGATATTACAATATTAAATCATCTTGTACCGCTATTTATTCTTTCATTGTTAGTAAATAATTAATATTTAATGTATATTGTATAACAAATAACAATTACAAAATATATAACAATTTATAATTAAATTATATTTTTGAACAATCATGTTGTATTTATGTATATGAATAAATTAATACAGCTTAATACTAATCAAATAAAGGATTAATAATTTTAATTATCATTTTACTTATAAAAATGTCTATTAATTAAAATAGCTATGGTATTTCTCGGGTAACAAACCATTATGCATATTAGGCACATCATCATTAATTATGGTAGAAATACTATTCCAATTCGGCAGCCTTTGTAGTATAGACAGTGCCCGCGGGGTTACCGTATACTCAAGACTCGCGCACAGAGTATAGGCGCCCGTATGTTTAAAATATAGCCACTCGCTCTAAGTCAGTGGCACCCGGGGCCGGACACAGTCCCTACTGTCACACGTGAGCCGTGAAGGCCGTCGTTTACGTAGTATTGCATTTCCGGCTGGTTTTTGATGTCGTCTACAGGTGCCTATCGTTTGGCGATTATATTAGTCACCAGGGTAAACGCTGATGCAAACTTAACGCGGTAGACATGTTAAGCTTATTTTGTTAACTAGATAATTTTATTAATTATGATAACAAAATAATTTCAATTAACAAAATTATCATAATTAAAATTCTCTATGCCAAATGTTAACATACTGTAAATTTTTAAAAATGTCTATTATTATGAGTAATATAAGATGATAATAATAATTTTTGGGTGCTGAAAAAAAAACAGAATTACTTTTTCCTACTATTAAAAAAATCGTTACATTAAATTAATCTTATGTATTTCTCATATTTAAAAAAATATCCTACCCAAATTCTTGGGAGACTACTACGGCTTTCTATACGTTAACCACGACTTTACCGCAGAACAGGTGCGAAAATATGGTAAAATATACGGCAGCTACCGGTTTACACAAAAATGCATCACGATCAACGAGCCCGACCTATTGCGGGACATAATGGTGCGGGACTTTCACGTGTTTCCCGACCGGCGGTACTTTCATTTGGGCTCATCTAAGATCGGGAAGAGTCTGTTTTTCCTGCCCGGGAGTGACGACGACTGGAAACGCGTGCGCTCTATACTGTCCCCCGTGTTTACATCGGGTAAACTCCGGGCAATGATGCGAAACATATCGGGAATATCCGACAAGTTTGTAAATAATTTGTCCCGATTTGCCGAACAAGGTAATTATAATTATGCATTTTAACTATTATTTTGTAAATATTAATTAGTATAGCATTAGAACTATATTTACGTATAGACTGTAAATACAATTAAACATAATTAATATAATATTTTACACATTGAATGAAATAACATAATGGCCCAACCCTTAGTCAGGAAATTACTTTTCATCCTTCCTATAATTTACTTGACTACATTAATTGATTAGTCAATTTAATTATATAATTTTAACAAAATAATTATTGTAAGGTAAATATTATTTTTAATAATTCAAGAAAGACATTAAATTATATAGAAATATCAAATTAATGTATGCTGTAAATTAAACTTTAAATATAAATTATAGATATTTATAACATAAAATTTAATAATTAAATGGTTAGAAACCTCATAGACAATGCTTAGAAAAATAATCATTTCAAATTTATATTTTTGGTATGTATTACCAATATATGGGAGTGTGTAATATATTCTATAGTGATTATTATTTTTAATAATTCAAGAAAGACATTAAAGTATATTAAAATATATTATTAATTTAATCTGTAAATAAAACATTACAAAAAGTTATAATACTAATTACAAAGAATTTAATATTTAAGTGGTTTTAAATCTCATTTGCCATGTTTAGAAAAATAATCATTTTGATTTGATTTTTTAAAATTTGTAATTCCTAATATATGACTGTGTAATATTTATATTTAAAAATCCTAACTAGGTGAACCGGTAGATATGCGTAAATACGTGGGTGCATTTGCAATGGATGTGATCAGTGCCTGCGCTTACGGTATAAATGTTGAGTCAATAGACAATCCCAATCATCCCATAGTAACGAATGCGATGAAAATTCTGAACACCGACGCCGGGGTCGGCATAATGTTGTCGGTTATGATTCCCCAATTGGGGAGACTATTGAGAGCCGAACCCTTTGATATCAAAGCAGTGAAATATTTCGATGACTTAACAAATCAAATACTCAGTGAACGCAAAGTGATCAACAAATACTCGGCCAGTGATAGTAAATGTATGTATTTTTTTAAATAATTAATTATTAATTCTAAGAAAATATTTAAACACTTATTAGTTGCTATGTTAGTTAACTATTAAGAATTTATTTCTCAACGCAGTAATATCAATGTAGTTAGAAAACACTATTAGTGTTACAGTTACAATAATACATTAAATGTAATTTTGATAATATAATATTAACATAGAAAATGATGACAACAGTACTGTAACATATAGTTAAATAAATTCTTGTAATAATCAAATCTTTATTGCAATATTAATATTGGCATTGAGAACATGAATGTACAATACAAAACAAATTTTTAAACAATTTAAAATCAATACAGTGTTAAATTTTAATTACAAATATAAATTATTTTAATTGTTATAATCAATCGTTTATGTAAAATAAGATATGTTAATAAACTGTAATATATTAAAAAGATGATAAGAATAGTAGATTTTTAAAGAAAAAAAAGGAAATTAAGGGTTTAGTACAACATTCATATTTAAATATGTGCAATATTAAAAATATTTTTAAACAAATAAATTTACTATTTTTAATTACACCATTCAATAGCCAAACGGCGCACAGATTTCATACAATTAATGATAGACTCGGAAAAGTCGGACAAAGAGTCGGAGTATTATTCGGGTGGCAGTGATGTAGAGACCGATGAGACCATTGAACAACACATACACAAGAGACCGATGGGCACGCTATCGGCCGACGAACTCACTGCTCAGGGGATACTGTTTTTCATCGCCGGTTACGACACGACATCCGCCGCCATAACACACGCCATATACTACTTGTCCCAAAACAAGGACTGTCAGCAAAAACTATACGAAGAATTGCAAAGTTGTGATGAGTTTACTTACGAAAAGTTAGCTCACTTTAAGTACTTGAACGCAGTTATCAGCGAAACCCTACGACTCGCCCCCTCTTTAACACGTATACAACGCGAGAGCCTAACGGACTATAAACTCGGAAATACCGGTATTTTAAAACAATAATAACAATAATTTTAAAAATTATTTTATTAAAATAATTTACAATATTTTCTCAAGGGATTACAATACCAAAGGGGACGTCCGTAGAGATTGTGCCGTACACTCTGCACCGTCAGCCAGACCTATGGCCCAACCCTAACGACTTTATACCCGACCGTTTCCTGGAGCCCACACACCATCCCTACGCTTACATACCCTTTGGTGGCGGACCCCGAGTATGCATTGGACAGAGATTTGCTATGCAAGAGATGCGAATGTGCCTGGCTAAATTGATTAAACAGTTTGAGTTTGACCCTGTTGATAAAACCCAAACAAAGTTGGAGTATTTTACGGGCAGTCTTCTCATGTCTCCCAAGGAGTTAATGGTTAACATCAAGTCTAGGGTTTAGTTTTGAATTACATCTCATAATAATTAATTTCATTTATATAATGCTTGAATTCTGTTATATTTACATTTAAAATACAAATTAATAATTTATTCGTTACATTGAATTAATATTATTAACATGTTAATTTATGTTTGTTGCAATTTAAATTTATTTATGCAAAATAGTACAATAAATATTTGCTTTCTAAAATAAACATGAGCATATTATTAAGTTATAATTCAGTAAAGTGATTATTTACTATTAATTTTTACAAATATAAATAAACTAATTGCATTTTATCAAAATAATATAATACTTTATTTGATAATTAAATATTTTTGGCTTAATAAATGGCACTAAATTTCAGATTATTAATTAATAATTATAAGTTATTTACGTATAAATTACATAAACTAAATGAATTTTGTAACTAATTTTTAAAATAAAATCAACTTATGATGTCAATTGGCAATACTTAACCACATTGGTGGTATGTTTCATTTGATCAATCGGATGTAATAATTATTAATGTTTATGTAAACTATCAAAATTTAAAAAAATAAAAACAACGTGGAAATTACTATATCATAAATTAAATATTATATTTAATGCATTTAATCAATCAATATCAAAGTTTTTACTAAAAATGTAATTATTTTATATGTGATAAATTATAGTCTACAGTTTTTGTAATTTTAATATTTTTAAAATAATTATAAGACACGATAAACATTATATCATATGGTTCTCAAAAAAGTGTGTTGGTGCTAAAGGTCAACAAACATAATAAATAATTATATTATTTGCGGGACTTTCACGTGTTTCCCGACCGGCGGTACTTTCATTTGGACTCATCGAAGATCGGGAAGAGTCTGTTGTTTCTGCCCGGGAGTGACGACGACTGGAAACGCGTGCGCTCTATACTGTCCCCCGTGTTTACGTCGGGTAAACTCCGGGCAATGATGCGAAACATATCGGGAATATTCGATAAGTTTGTCAACAATTTGTTCCGATTTGTTGAAAAAGGTAATTAAAATTATGGATTTTTAGTTATTACTGTGTAAATATTAATTAGTATCATTAGAACTACATTTACGTATAGAGCATAGTGTCTAAAAGATTGAAAAAAGTTTGAATTCCCCATGTATTGTCATTCCCAAGAGTGCTTAAACTTAGTTATACATTACGCATCACCATAGGATTTACACCATCGTGTAAATTTTAAGCACTCATGGTCATTCCCATTGTATAGGTATAGACTGTAAATAAATTTAGCATAATTAATATGTTATTTAACACATTAAATGAAATAAAATAATGGTTTACTACCAACATCGACATTAATAAATTACTTTTCATCCTTCCTATAATTTGATTGACAAAATTAATTGATTAAATTCTAAACTAGTCAAATTATTTATATCATTTTTAACAAAATAATTAGTTATAGTAATTATTATTTTTACTAATTCAAGACATTAAAGTTTTATATATATAAATATCTTATTAATTTAGGCTGTAAATAAAACATTAAACATAAATTATATTACCTATTACAAAAAATTTAATAATTAAATGGCCAGAGTTCTCACAGACAATGTATAGAAAAATAATCATTTTTAATTTATATTTTTGATATGTACATGTTAGTTTGTAATATTTATATTTTAAAATCCTAACTAGGTGAGCCGGTTAATATGCGTAAATACGTCGGTGCATTTGCAATGGATGTGATCAGTGCCTGCGCTTACGGTATAAATGTTGAGTCAATAGACAATCCCAATCATCCAATAGTAACGAATGCAATGAAAATTCTGAACACCGACGCCGGGGTCGGCATAATGTTGTTAATAATAATTATAATTGTATATACTAAATTTTAGCATACTGTAAACAATTTCAAAAATCTGTATTGTAAAATTAATTTATTATTATAACAATAATATTGGACCAAACAAAAGCTTTCAAGTTAAATATGATTAATTTCTGAATATATGTATAAGCTGTAAGTAAAGCGTGAAACCTAAACTAAATTACATTTTGTGAGCATTATATAATTGAATTAAAACAGAGAAACATTTGTTATACTTATATAATTATTATATTGTAAAAACGTTAATAATATACAATTAAAATTGGAGAACAAATTAAATATCAAATGTTTGTTTTATGAATTATTATTAATTTACAACTTTGCGATGTTTTGTTTTTAAACTATATTACAAAATTAATATTTACAACAGTTTAAAAAACTGTAAATAAATATATTATAGATTTACAATAGTTCTTTATTGATTATAAAATATATATTTTGGCAAATATGTCCAAGAAGAACATTCTTCATAAGTCCAACTTATCATTTGCAATGAATATATAATTAATTTTGTTAAATCTTCTTGTACTTCTGTTTATTTTCTCATTTTTAGTAATAATGTACATTCAATATATTTTGTTTAACAAATAACTATTACAAAATATATAGCAATTTATATTTTATAATTTAATTATATTTTTGAACAATTTAACGGCACTTACTAAAAGGTCCGGACAACACTTTTCTATGTACGGCAATACCAATATTTTGACGGTAGATCGGTCGACCCAAATGCCGATCAAATGAGCCCGGATAAGCCGGGCCAATCACTTTTATTAATTTAAAAATTTATTTATTTATTGAAAAATTGATTTAAATGTATTAAGGGAAGTGTATTTTACAGTAAAAAAAATTTCAAATAAGTTTGTAATATTTATATTTTAAAATATTAACAAGGTGAACCGGTAGAGTCAACAATTTGTTTTTAAACTACTGTATTTAAAATAATTAAAATTTTAAAATTTAATTACAATTACTTATTATTTTAATTATTATAGACTATTGTTTATGTAAAACAGTGAGTTAAAAAGTTAGAAAAAGTCTATTAAAATAGTACATTTTTAAAGAAAAGAGTAAATTATGGGTTCTCTTCGAAATCAATTAACGTTACATTAAATCAATATTATTAATATATTAATTTACATTGTATGTTTGTTGTACTTTAATCGTGATTCAAAATACTATTGTAAATATTAAATGTTTGCTTTATAAAATAAACATAAGCATATTATTGATTTATAATTTAGTAAAGTGATTATTTATTATTAATTTTTAAAACCTATAATAAACTGTAATTAATTACCTTTTATTAATATAATATAATACTTTATTTAATTATCAAATATTTTTGGTCTAAACAGTCAAAACTCACTCAAAAGTAGACTACTTTAAAAAATATATTATTTATTTTGAATAACTCATCAATGTTGTTGGTTATACAGGGTTGGGCATAAGGAGGAAGAGTTATAATTAATTTTTAAAAAATACTTAGAGTTGAGATAAAAAGTTTTACTTAGAGTTAAAAAATACTTATATTTTGTTTAAGTAAAGTTTGTTTTATTTAGGAATAATGATAGTTTTAGTGGAACTAATGAATGAGGTTCTCAAAGTGACCACCTTTGCACACAATCAAATGCCGTAAACAAATGACAAAAAACC